ATGTTGTTTTGATTCATCAATTGTTGGAACATATTTTTGAATTCATTTAAAAACATTGTTAAATTTCTAGTAAAGTTTTCACTAGTTGTATTAGCCTGTTGATATTATTGTTGTGATCTCATAACTTTTGCATTTGTCATTTGATGAGAATTTGCATACCTTATTTGGTCTATGTTCTTAGAAATTGTTGGCCCATATTGATTTTTAATGCGGTTACCGTGTGGTCTGTTCATTTGATCTTCTTTTCTTGCAATAATTCTGATATACTGGACATTCTTTAAAGTTAGCAGTATGTTCATTCAAACAGTTAGCACAAGTTGCTGGAGTCTCTATGGACTTAGTACATGACTTAGAAGGATGATCATCTCCACATTTAACGCACGTGTGTGGCTTATTGCAATATGTTTTGCTGTGTCCATATTCTTGGCATCTTCTACACTGGATAATTTGTGAAGATCATATTGGTGGTTCAAAGTGTACTATTTTATTTGAAATTTTATTCACAGTAAAATTTTCATGGTTATTCTTGTTCGGTTTAAGTCTACATAGAACATATTAAGCGGTTCTCTTGATCTGTAGTGTATGACGTTAACTATATTACGCACTTTATGTCTATTTTTTTCAATCTCTTGCTTTATTCCTTCAATATTAGTGGTTAAGTGAATATATTTTAAAACAACTCTGTACGCCCTTTCACTTTTTACCTGATAGGTATGATAAACAACATTGCGTTGTTACAGAAGTTTAACAAAGTTTCTATAGTTTGCTTTTGTTGAAACGTTGAATTTGATAACATTGTCAGCTAAGGTTTTTGTTGTGTAAATGTTATCGGACAAAACCGGTTTTGGAGCGTTAATCATATCGGAAAAATTTGCTACTCCATTTATGTACACCGGCGGTGGTATTTCCTTTTTTGGCTGAGAATTTGCTTCAGTATTTGCTGATAATGAAGATGGTTGAGCATTAATTATTGATTTTTCATTATTGGCGAGAACGTTGAATCTATTAGTCAATTTTATAGTTTCGGTCGGCCTATTAATCCGTCTTCTTTTTGCACTCGTCACAGTTTGCCAAGAATTTGTCAAACTGTTTTGCGCGGTATCAGTATCCATGGCGGCAGAGGAATTTAACATTTTCGAGAGGTTTGAATTAGTTTTAATCGCAGTTGTTTGGTAACAAAATCTGAGCAAATTTGTTGATCATCATTTAGAACATTATTTACTTCCGTTAGTGGTACGTTCAAAGAGGTGCTCATTGTGTTCCCCGAAGGGAGAATTACGAGTTAAGCAATTAATTTAACTAATCACTAATGATCACTATTTGTGTTAATAAATAGTGATTATTAGTGAATAGTTAAATTATTTGCTTAACTCACACTCAATTATTTAATATAAGTATAGCGGAATCAACACGCAATGATATAGCGGAATCAACATGCATAAGGCGGAATGAACACGGCAACATGACAGATGTCAGTGGAATTACGCCAATTTGATGACAAAAATTACACAACATACTTTGGGCTACGCTGATGCGCTGAATCTGGCATCTAGTAAGCTAGAGTGGAGGATTGTTTTAAAAATACGATCGTAAATTTGATTGGGTTTTAATGATCGAACATTTTGTCGAGACGAAAATTGTAGTCCGAAAATTATATAATGATAAATCGAGTTTCATATTAAATTGAGTTTTTAATAAACTGACATCATAAACGAGTCTACATCCGATAATTGTGGTTTCACTTCTAAATAATAATTAATAAATAATGGCCAACTACTGCCATAACTGGTGACTCCGAGCGTGTAAGTGAAATCATTAAGCAAGAGACATTCTCAACGTCTTAGTACCCATAATTGGTGACGTCAGACGGAGAAAGAAAAACACTTGTCAACTACAAAGCATCTTTCAAAGGTAAATTATATAAATTTTTTTCAAAGATGTCGACTCCACCTTCGTTCAGCAATGATGAAACAGCGCTCAACAGATCTCTGATCGATCTGGATCACAAGGCGATCTTTAACACGAGCAGTCCTCGCGTTTCTGAACATGACAGTTATGCTGATCAATACAATATAGCAACATTTAATAATCACCGTCTCACTCCATTCAATGGAGATTCTCCAGAACTATGGTTTTTAGTAATTGAATATGAGTTTCAGTCTGCTAAGATCAGTAGTGACGATACTAAATACACGGCAGTACTTAAAGCCCTGGACTTTGAAACACTGCGCCTCATTCAAGATGTCCTCCGTAATCCTCCAATGACGGGCAAATACGAATATATCAAAAAGACTATATTAAGCAGAATGTCTGAATCCAGAGGTAAGCAGATTGACAAGCTATTAAAAAACTTAACTCTAGGAGAGAAGAAACCATCACAGCTCCTTCGAGAGATGATGGATTTGGCTAAGGGAGAGGTCAGTGAAGACATCATAATTAAATTATGGTCAGAACGCCTGCCACACCACATTCGGCCACAATTGATAGTTTCTCGACATCTTGGTCCGGAAGCCCTGGCTGAAGTAGCCGATATTTTGGTCGATCACTGTAGCCCCACATCACATGTGATGTCCACAACACACAAGTCTTCAGTGGAACAGAGACTGGACCGCCATGAAACTCTTCTTATGTCATTCGTCAAGGAAATCAAAGAACTAAAGGCAATGTTAAACACTGAAAGGCAGAAAAATAATCAGCTAGAATCACAACACAACCGGTCAAGATCAAGAAGTGGACAACACAATCAGTCAAGATCAAGAAGTGGTTCTCGACATAGTTCCAAGACACCTTCTTGTGGATCAGTTTGCTACTATTATTACAGATACGGTGAGAAAGCCACAAAGTGTGAAGAGCCCTGCTTGCTTAAATCTCTAAACCGATCGGAAAACTAACTTCACCGTCATTAATTGGAGCTTGTCGTGACGGTGAAATAAATTCTGTCTGCTCTGAGCTCTGCCTACATATTTCAGACAGAAAGACCGCAATTCAATTCCTTATAGATTCTGGATCAGTTTTATCCATTTTACCAGCCCATAAGTTCGCCAATGGTCATGCCAAGGAAGAGCTAGTTCTATTTGCAGCAAACTCTAGCAGAATATTCACGTATGGCAAGAGAACTCTGGAGCTGGATTTATCTTTACGCAGAAGCTTTAACTGGCAGTTTGTTGTTGCCGATGTAGCCACAGCCATAATAGGAGCCGATTTCCTAAGCAACTACAATCTATTAATAGACTTGAAGGGCAGAAGATTGATTGATTCGACCACAGGCCTTACCTCTGATGGAAAGGTACTCAATGCACAGCAATTCAACATCTCCACTGTCAACCCGGCAGAGCCTTTCAAGGATTTGCTGGCACAATACATTGAAATAACAAAGCCACAGGTAACCACCAATATTAAATTATGTGATTTTTCCCACAGGATAACCACAACAGGTCCACCATTAGCTACCAGATTCAGGAAGATCTTCGGAGAAAAGGCTGTTGCAGCCAGGTCCGAGATACAAGATCTCCTGAACAGGGGCATTTTGAGGCCTTCCAACAGTCCATGGGCAAGCCCTATTCACATGGTTCCCAAAAAGAATGGCACATTCAGAATGTGTGGAGACTATAGGAGGCTGAACGCAAACACGCTGCCTGACAGGTATCCTCCACCTTTAATACAAGATGTTTTTAATAATCTTCATCAGAAAGCAGTATTTTCTACAATAGATTTAGAAAAAGCTTACCACCAAGTACACATGCATGAAGAAGATATTAAAAAGACTGCAATGATCACACCAGGGGACTCTTCGAGTATCTACGTATGCCATTTGGACTCAAAAACGCCGCCCAGACATTCCAGAGGTTTATCAATCACATATTCCAAGATTTCAATTTTGTTTTCATTTATATAGACGACATCCTGGTAATGTCGGCTGATATGAATGAGCACCGTCGTCATCTTCAATTGGTTTTTGAGAGGCTACAGGAATATTCTTTTACAATCAACTTAGAGAAATTCGCCTTTGGAAAAGATGAAGTAAACTTCCTCGGTTACAAACTGAGTGCTGCAGGATATTCTCCTTCACCAGACCGAGAAGAGAAAATTATTAATTATCCAAAACCTTCGACAGTTATAGAACTCAGAAGATTTTTGGGCATGGTAAACTATTATCGTAAATCAATACCCAAGGCAGCAAATATACAAGCACCACTTTATGAGTATGTGAAGTCCTCAGTTAAAAACGACAAGACTCAAATTGAATGGAATGACAATTCATTATCAGCATTCAGCAAGCTGAAGGAAGCTCTAGCAAATGCAACTCTTCTTCATTTTCCTTCAAGTATAGCAAATATTAATTTAATTACAGATGCATCTACAACAGCCATTGGAGCAATTCTGAAGCAAGAAGAAAGTGGCGCATGGCACCCTATAGGTTTCTTTTCCAGAAAGCTCACATCTACTGAACAGCGATATTCAACTTACGATCGCGAGCTACTAGCCATCTTTGCGGCTTTAAAGTATTTTGAATATCTGCTAGAAGGAAGGCACTTTGTAATCAAGATAGACAACAAGCCAATCACACATGCATTTAAACAGAAATTAGAGAAGGCTTCAGATCGTCAGCGACGGCAGCTGGAATACATATCACAGTTTTCCACTGATATTATATATGTGAATGGTGATCAGAACGTGGTTGCTGATGCCTTGTCCAGGATCAATGCCATTCAAATGCTTTCAAAGTTAACCGAGAGAAAATTTCGCAAGAACAGAGCAAGGACGTTGAAATGCAAACTATATTAATTGGCAACACCTCTCTGAATCTTTAAAAATTAACATTAGACGGCAATCCAGTTTATTGCAACACGCAAGATAATTTTGTTAAGCCCTTCCTTCCGCAAAGTCTTCGCAGAATTGCTTTTGACATTGTACATGGAAATGCACACCCAAGCATAAGCATTACTTCAAGGGAGTTGCGAAGAAGATATGTGTGGCCTGGGATTGGTAAAGACGTCACCATGTGGGCACGTCAATGCATTCCTTGCCAAAAATCCAAAATACACAAACATAATCACTTCACTCCTATCCATATTCCTATTCCTGAAAACAGATTTTTGCATATTCACATCGACATAATTAAATTACCTAATATTAATGGATATCCTTATTGCCTAACAATCATCGACAGATTCACAAGGTGGCCAGAAGCTATTCCTCTAAAGGACATTTCTTCAGACACGATTGTTCAAGCCCTATTTTCAAACTGGATACCAAGATTTGGTACACCATGTGTGATAACATCCGACCAAGGATGCCAGTTTGAATCAGCTATATTCAAATCATTAACGGATACAATAGGTGCTAAGAAAATACGGACAACGGCATATCACCCTCAGTCCAATGGTCTGGTTGAACGCTGGCATAAAACTCTGAAAGCAGCTTTAATGTGCTCTCCTGAGCTCTGGATCAAAGTATTACCTGTAGTCTTACTAGGTTTACGTTCTTCATACAAAGAAGACCTTAAAGCATCTTCTGCTGAGATGGTTTATAAAACCACATTAAGACTACCAGGCGAGATTTCACATCTAAAGAACTGTCATCTGATCCACAAGCATTTCTGGACTGTCATAGAAAAATAATGCGTGCTATTAAGCCTACTGCCACAGCTCATCATAATAAAGCCAATATGTTTGTACTCAAGGACATGAATACATGCACGCATGTATTTGTCAGGGCAGATACTATTCGAAAACCACTTGAGCCTCCATATAGTGGACCATATAAAATCATAGAAAGAATTTCAGACAAAGTGTACAAAATTTTTATGGATGGTACTAATAAGAACATATCGGTTGACAGATTAAAACCAGCATATACAGTCAAAACAGATAACAGTCAACCAAACACTCCAAAAGAATTTAAATCACATAACTTGGGATTATCGATGGATCCTCCAAGAAAGATTAAGAGTAAAAAAGTCTCCTTCAAATTATAATAATTAAATTTGTTTATTTCTAACGGATACTTTTTTTTCTTTTGAAGGGGAGTGATATAGCGGAATCAACACGTAGTGATATAGCGGAATCAACACGCATATGGCGGAATGAACACGGCAACATTACAGATGTCAGTGGAATTACGCCAATTTGATGACAAAAATTACACAACATACTTTGGGCTACGCTGATGCAAATCTGGCATCTAGTAAGCTAGAGTGGAGGATTGTTTTAAAAATACGATCGTAAATTTAATTTGGTTTTAATGATCGAACATTTTGTCGGGACGAAAATTGTAGTTCGAAAATTATATAATGATAAATCGAGTTTTATATTAAATTGAGTTTTTAATAAACTGACATCATAAACGAGTCTACATCCGATAATTGTGGTTTCACTTCTAAATAATAATTAATAAATAATAAATGGCCAACTACTGCCATGGATGCAATAGATGTGTGGAGCGGGCTGTCAACACGCACCGCATTTGCTGTAGCGGCTCGTCAACACGCATCACATTTCTACTGGACAGATAGGCTCATATAGTGACAGCACGGAGGAAACAAAATTAATTCAAGTGTCAGATCTGATCTGACTTTTGTTTCTCCCTTGTCGAATTTGCCAAAATTAAAATTCTTGAAACCTTTTCTTTTTAATTGTAAATAAATAAATACCAACTATATTTTATAAATGATAAATATGATAACACATGGTGTCGTCAATACTAATCATACATAAAATAAACAAAGTATAAAACATAATATTTCATTAAATTTATTATTGTCTACAATTCTGGTATTTCTACAATATGTACCACGCCTCATATTTTGGTGACCCCGAGAGTGAACTAGTAACACACATAAAAGAAGGTAAGAAGATCAAGACATATTTAGAAGTAACAAAAAATAAATTGAAGTCTCAAGAATAATTAAGAAAAGAATTTTTAAAAATATAAATAATTATTATAAATGGCTCACAACTGCCATAAGTCAAAGAGCATTCTAAGCATACAATTGAGACTCCGACCTCGCACTTTAAGATCAACAACAACACGTGCTCAATAAATCACTTATTATACTGGTAAATAAGTCGATTATAAGCACCATGGCAGCAGACAGGGAGCATCAACAAACAATTTGGCAACCGCCATATACACTTAGCCGCTAACTCACCAGCGAAGGGCCACATACACACATACACTCAACCGCTAACTCACCAGCGAAGGGCCACATACACACATACACTCAACCGCTAACTCACCAGCGAAGGGCCACATACACTCAACCGCTAACTCACTAGCGAAGGGCCACATACACTCAACCGCTAACTCACCAGCGAAGGGTCACATATACTCAACCGCTAACTCACCAGCGAAGGGCCACATCTACTCAACCGCTAACTCGCCAGCGAAGGGTCACGTAATCAATCAACCAACTCACCAACCTAACACGGCATTCAAAACGGCCACGGCCACTAAAAAATTAATCACACAATCTCAACCAAAAAATTTACAAGAAAGTTCAAGATGGCAGTCAGAGATGCGAAACAATCTTTTTCATTGGGGCGGAGTGATGTAGCGGGCTGTCAACACGCACCGCATTTGCTGTAGCGGTTCGTCAACACGCATCACATTTCTACTGGACAGATAGGCTCATATAGTGACAGCACGGAGGAAACAAAATTAATTCAAGTGTCAGATCTGATCTGGCTTTTGTTTCTCCCTTGTCGAATTTGCAAAAATTATAATTCTTAACTTTTTTCCTTTTTCATTATAAATACTGAAATAATATCTACGTTTTGTAAATGACAAATATAATCACACATAGTGTTGTTACTATTGTCATAATAAACAATATACGTAATATAAAGAACACAAGTTTCTTTATAAGTAGTATGTATTACTACTGAACACTCTGTTTATACTGCAATAGCACAGGTATAAATGTATTGTATTTGCAGGTAAATATTTTATCTGTATTTAGATACGCTAGGTCCGCTGCTGACGAACTGAAAGTAAAATATAAATCGAATTTATTAGTAAAGTGTTATATGATAATCAAATAAATGTACCCGCAATTATGCAAAATGAACCCTATAATCCACCAATTCCGTTAGTTAAAATTGATAAAGTGCTTAACTGCAGTTTCGAAAGTGAACATCATTTACATGAACCACAGCCAACAATTAATTTCGTATATTCTACATTATTCAATAACAACATGAATGTAGAACAAATGGAATCTTGCAATGAGCCATCAAATTATAGTTCTATTCCTTGGCAAGTTGTTGATAGTCCTAAAAGTAAACGTCCAAATCGACAAGTAGATCAGCCAATTCAACTAACCAATAGATTTAACGTGGTTATAAACAAAGAGTCTATTGCTGTTCCTGAAATATCAAATTCTGTGAAAAAAATTTTCATTGTATCTAAATTATGCAAAGTCTTTTACTTTTAATCATTACAATGAAAATGTTATAAATTTAGAACATATAAATCTAGTAAATCAGAAATTTCAGAAAGTCTCTCCCATTTTTTGAATGAGTTCAAAAGTATGTTCAAACAGCTCATGCGGCAAAATACAATGATGATAAACATGTTATCGACCCTTATAAATAAAATTAAATAATCTATGCCCAAATTTTTAAGAGTAGGATTATGGAATGCAAATGGGCTTTTACATTTTTTTTATATAAATGAATTGATAGTGTTCCTCAATGAAAATAAAATTGATATATTATTAGTAAGTAAAACCCACTTTACCAAATACTCCAACTTGTTCATTCCTCAGTATATTATAAATATATAACTATATTTATCATACATGTTATCCAGATGGTACAGCACACTGTGGCTCAGCCGTATTGAGTAAGTTCAACATTTCTCATTATGAACTCCAAAAGTATGACAAAGAATTCCTTCAAGCAACAACAATCCAAGTTCAACTTTCTTCATTTCCAATAACTATTTCTGCAGTTCATCCCCGGCATAAAAGTAGCGCTTTATAATTCTCTGATTTTTTTGGGTCGCTTGGGAGTAAATTTATCCGGCGGTGACTTTAATTGCAAGCACACGTTTTGGGGATCAAGACTGATCAATCCAAAGGAAAGAACACTTTATGACGTTCTTGATCAACAATGCTATTCTAGGTTTTCCGCAGGAACTCAACCTACTGGCCTACTGACATAAGAAAGAAGCCCGATTTACTGGATTTTTTTCATAATAAAAGGTTTAAATACCAAGTATACTGATGTTAATCCAAGCTCCGATTAGATCACTCCCCAATTATTGCCACTATTTCTTCTTCTATTATGAACGTCTGTAATCCTGCTAGACTTCATTCAACAAAAACTAACTGGGAGCTTTACCGTTACAAAATAGAAGAGAAGATATATTTAAAAATTAGTCTAAAATCCACCGGAGATTGACCACGCTGTTGACAAATTTAACAAAATTCGTCATGCAGCAGCTGTAATAGCAGCTGTAATAGCTGTAATATACTCCAAAAACAACCGTCAAGCAAAAGCACTCGCTCTCCTTGGAAATTAAAAATTTATTAGCAGATAAAAGGAGAGCAAGGCGCAAATGGCAATCAAGTCATTTACCTTCGGATAGAAATATTTTTAATAATTTAAGCAACAGGCTTAAATTGAGGTTCAGAGAGATTTCCAACCAAGCTTTAATAAATATGTATCAAATTTTAATAGATTTGATAATTCAATATGGAATCCTATTAAACACAAACTAAAACCTTAAATTAAAAGTTCGCTTTTTTGATGGGATAAGCGCAATCATCTACACTGGGCAAGAGGTGATGCAGAAAAGTCTGATCTATTTGCTGAATATCTGAGTTCAGTTTTTCAACCTAATCCAGATCTCTCAAATACAGCGGACACCAGTTTGACTTCTTAAAAATTATAGTTAAAGAAATTGGTAATCTAAAGAATAAGAAATCTCCTGGATTTGACTTGGTGACTTCAAGAATGCTTAAAGAAATGCCAAAAAACTAATTTATCCTATTAACTTATATATACAATTCGATAATAAGATTAAACTACTTGCCCACCTTCTATAAAACATCCATAGTAAAAATGATACATAAAAGTGAGAAAGATCCAAACGTGGTTTCTTCATATAGACCGATCAGCCATTGTCTCGAAAGTGCTTGAAAAACTGCTACTCCAAAATATCTTATTTAATACAAATATTTTTCCAGACTATCAATTCCGCTTTCGGAACCAGCACTCTACAATTCAACAGTGCCACAGAATTGTAAGTGTTATCAATAATACCTTTCAGGCTAAGAAATTCTGTTCCGCGATTTTTCTAGATGTTAGCTAAGCTTTCGATAAGATGTGGCATAAAGGCCTTTTATTCAAAATTGGCTCTCTACTTCCAAGTAAGTATTACAATATTCTAGAATCCTAACATGACGGTAGGAAATTAAAAGTCCGCGTTATCTCAAATACTTCAGCATCTCATCATATTGAAGCAGGTGTTTCACAGGGAAGCGTTATGGGTCCTTTACTGTATATTCTCTTTACTAGTGACTTTCCAACATTACAATCGACCATAATAGCAACTTTTGCTGATGATATTGCAGTACTTTCAACACACATCGATGCATCTGTTGCTTCAAGTATTC